CTTAATGAATATTTATACAAAGGACTAGTAGTAGTAGTAGTAGTAGGTAGTAGTAATATTTGAATTTTCACTTTCAATCAATTTTGTAATATTATCAGAGTCCACATGCAGTTATTATTACTCTTTTGATATCTGAATTTAAAAAGTAATATTTTTATTTCAGTTTATTATAAATTCTCAGTAAGCAAAAGCAAACTTACCGCAAAATATAAAAAATTAGAAATTAGTTTCTACACAAAAATTATTCTTTCTTTTTGACCTTCCACACTTCTAGTTTCGAAGTTAAAATTTGTGTGTCTATATTAAGATGGATGTGACAAGTCTATGCTTCTTGACATGTTATGTAATGAAAATGATAAGGTCTCGAGTTAATCAGATCTCTTAGAATACTATGATAATGAGAGTATTAAATTAACTACTTGCAATTAATCAAATTAAAAAAAGATTTATTTCAAGTCTAGCATGTGAAAATGATAAAAATAGCAGCTTGAATATGATTTAAGAAGTCTGGAAAAATATATTATTTATTTATTGTGTTACTCTTGATATCACTACAAATTATCATCGAAAAATAATTTTAAAATGCCATTACCTTGATTTAATCACTATTAATTTATTTAAAAACTTGAATCAAAATTTTTATTTATTCCAAAAAAAACTTGATTTTCTACTTCTTAATCTTTGCTTTATTTCTGGATATCTTTAACTTTTTTGTGTGAAGATTTTAAGTTAGACTAAACTGAAGAAATGCTTGGAAAATTTAACCAACAACTATTGCGTTATTTTTAAAAAGTATCTCGCTTTCCTTTAATTATTTATCTCGTAATCTTATACTTTTATAGTCTTCAAAAAGGAAGAACAAATTGCACTGAATATTATCAAACTTATCAGCTCCATACTTTCCATCACACTTATATTAATAATTTACTATCACTTCTGTGTATATATATTTGTTCGTGTTAAAGATTTATAATAAAATAGTTGATCATAATTTTAAATGTAAGTAAACATTTGAAGACTGAAACACAAAATGGATACACCAGTTCGAAAACGACGCTCTTTACGTGTTGTTGCCTTTGCATCCGTAGCTTTTTCAACTATTTCCGTGATGTGTTGTGTAATTACGTTACCTATTATTTACAATCATGTACAAAGTGTGCAGTCTTTCATGCAAAATGAAGTTGATTATTGTAAGGTAAGACTTAATTTAGGGTCAATTTATAAAAAAATTAAATAATACTTTTTAAATTAAAACTTAACAAACTTAAAAGACGGCCGAGGTTTTAAAAATTTTGGATATTATTTTGAATATTGAATTTTTTTAGACACGTTCGCGTGATATGTGGAAAGAGATGGTACAACTTCATACTATCACTTCACCTGCATCGATTACAGCTTCTATATCACGTAGAAAGCGTCAATATGATGCTGCAGGAATTCAAGTAGACCAAGCAGTAAATGCTCCAACTAGTGGAAGTTGCTGTACTTGTCAAATCGGACCTCCAGGACCTCCTGGACCACCTGGACGTGATGGACGACCCGGGCAAGTATTTCATTTCAGTTCTAGAATTTATGACTAATAAAGAAACAGTGGTATTTACGGATATAAGTACATTTTTGCTTTTTCTTAAATAAATAATCGGCTTTTAGTTTTGATTGTTCTTGAATTTTTGGATTATGATAATCTGTTAGTGGATAGTAACTTAATTTGCCAACATTATTTGTAAATCTTACCAGTAATATTTATTATAGAGCACCTGGACGACCAGGTAATCCGGGACCGCCAGGCCGAGATGGTACATTGCTTCCTGGACCACCTCCCAAGCCACCATGTCAGAAGTGTCCACCAGGACCACCTGGACCACCTGGACCTCCTGGACCCAAAGGTTTACCTGGGCCGCAAGGGGATGCTGGAATTCCTGGTAAACATTAGAATTAAGTTTAAGTAAATGATGATGCAGAAAGTTTAATTAATATTATCAAAATTCATCTTCTAAATTACTTTCAGGGTTGGATGGTGCGCCTGGCCTACCTGGACCACCGGGACCTCAAGGACCACAAGGACCACCGGGATTTCCTGGAGAAAAAGGACCGCCGGGGAAACCTGGAAAAATTATAAATGGAGCACCACCTGGTCCGCCAGGACCTCCTGGACCACCTGGCCCACAAGGTATGATTCTCACCTGCTTCACTTCCTAATACAATCAGCATTTGTAATGATTAAGACCCAAAAAATAATACAAATAATATTTAAGGGCCTCCTGGACCCCCAGGAAGAGATGGTAAACCAGGTAAAGCAGGACCTCCTGGACCACCAGGTGATCCTGGTGAAAAGGGTGCGGACGGTTTACCAGGACCTCATGGACCACCGGGACCAAGAGGGCCACCAGGGCAACCTGGCTCTTGTGATCATTGTCCACCACCCCGAACTGGTCCTGGTTATCGTCAACGATAAAGATTCCCTTGATTTTTAATCGTTTCAATTAAACATTTGTTAACCATATATAAAACATTGTGCACAACTTTATCAAGTCATTCTTTCGCTCATCAATTAATTAATTGATTAATTAATGTTGTAATTATTGGTATAGGCAATATTAATTCAGAATATTCTCGTT